ATTAACGCAACTAAAAGAATTATTGAAATGAATTCAAACGGAAGAAAAAAATCTGTTGATAAATGAATCCCAATTTGTTGACTATTACTTATCAAATCTTGTTCTATAATCTGGTTTGCTTTTGTAGTCCAAATAATTCCGTACCATGACGTATCTGGAATAGTAGTAATTAGTGAAACAAAAAGACTTGTACATACCACCGAAGTTATTCCATCTCCAACGGTCCAAAGATGGAAATCTTTGGAATATTCTGAACCATTTATGAACATCACAGCAAAAATTATTAAAACATTTATGGCTCCTACGTAAATAAGGAGCTGCGCAGCAGCTACAAAATGGGAGTTTGATAGAATATAGAATAAAGATATACAAACAAAAACCAATCCCAACGAAAAGGCAGAATAAATAGGATTGGGAAGTAATACTACTCCCAGACCCCCTAATATAAGACCCAATCCCAAAAAGACTAAAGAAAATCATGTATTAGTCCAGGTAAATCCATTATATATAAAATCAGAGATAAATAAATCAAAATCTTTCATAACTTTATTGACCCGGTCAGGAAAAAAGAAGTAACTCTACTTTTTTATAATAGTTCTTATAAAAAAATTCCAACCCATAAAATTTTATCTTATTGTGTATCGTTTTGGCGGCATGGCCGAGTGGTAAGGCGGGGGACTGCAAATCCTTTTCCCCAGTTCAAATCCGGGTGCCGCCTCATCAACAAACGAATCAAAATTTATTATCTGCTGATATAAATCACCCAAATTTTACCCAACAGATAAGGCGATTGTTGATACTTGGTTGATTCTAAACATCTGTTCTGGGGATTTTGTAAAAGATTGGAAATCTTTCAATCTAAAATTCAAATAAAGATTATATTATAATGGTCGAAGCAAGACTTCCGATTCCCTTCTACTGCTAATGTCTACTGATTGGGTCTTGAATTTCATTGGCATAGCCGCCGCGGCTAACTAGTTGTGGAAAGTCCTTTATGTAATCTACATATATAGACTCGCGAGAATCTCTGAGTGTTCAGGCATTCAATCACTATTAGATTGAGATTGGATGGATAATTTACTTTTTTATAGAAAAAGTGAAAAAAAATTATTATTTTTTTTGAAAACCCTCGTCAAGAGTATAATATACTATCTCCCAACTGCTTCAGAGAGACAATCGGGAAAGGAAAGGGTACAGATTAGATCAAATAGGAAATAAAAGTATGTAATAGATAGCAATTGATCTATTTGTACTTTGAAGGGCAACAAAGAATGGGCCCTGTTTTTTTATTACTATATGTTCCATTAGTAACATTCTTTGTAGCGTCATTGTGTATTTTAGTTGTGTTTAGTCTTTCCCGGTTAGAAATCATATAGGAATTTTTTAGAAATGGATTTATTTGATTGGTTCATCAATAGTGTTCGGCCAGAATCCCTTTTTGACTCTGGACCATGGATTCTACTATTATTAGTGAGTAATACAATAATGGAATATTTCTAGCATAAAGATAAGGGACATAATTGACATGGATATAGTAAGTCTCGCTTGGGCTGCTTTAATGGTAGTCTTTACATTTTCCCTTTCACTCGTAGTATGGGGAAGAAGTGGACTTTAGAAGGACTACTAATTTAGTTTAGGAATGAAATGGTATCAATTGTTTTATAGATCGTTCTGCAACGCATTTTTTATTTTTTATTTGAATTGAAATAATTTTCAAATCAAAATTTATTCATTTCGAAATTCCATTGGATTCTAGTGGAGAAATGTATTATATAACAGCAAAACAATTATTTCAGAAAGAAAGAGAATTGGGTCCTACGTTAATTCCATATATGGATTAATCACTACATATATTGAAGATAGAAGCTAATATAGTATACCAACTTTATTAGAAAGTAAAGTACAACTTTATACACTACTATAACACTAATAGAGAGTATGGTAAGAAATTTCTTACCATACTCTCGGATCTCATAGAATACCGCTCATTATAGCCCGTTGATTTCATTTAAAACGCAAAAAAATATTTTGATTTGATTTCTTCAACTATTGATAAGAACTCAGAAGTCAAGTTTCATTTCAAGTAATTAATTATTTTGACTGACTGTTTTTACGTAAATGATAAGTAGAAAAGCAGTAGGAACTAAAATGAACAGTGCAGTAGCAATAAATGCAAGAATATTTACTTCCATAATCTCAATCTCATCGTTTTTTTTTATTTCACAATAACTCGGGATTTAATCCCATAGAGATGATAAATCTTTCACCTGTCAATTCAATGAATGCATTACCTATCGATGATCTTGAATCGGATCAATATCATGAATAACAATATCTGAGCTATTAAATTAATTCGTCGTCGAGAATTGAATAGTGTATACATACGAAGATCTTTTATCCATACCGAATCCAAGATTGGATTCCCGGACCAATCAAAAATTCCTTTATTTATCCTTCTTTCTTTTTTTCTTTTCTATAACCTACCCTAGGTCTTCCGTATAGAACCATCAAATGAAGTATCCTCGTCCGTTTCCATTAACTACAAAACGCCAACAAAAAATACAAGCGAAGTGGAAAAAGAGAGGAATTAGGTTGTAAATTTGAATGATCCAATTTTATTTGGAAGACAAAGAAGTATGAGAAAGAGGAGTCGCGGGAGAAAAGATGGAATATTCTATCAACTTCACTGTTTTAGTTATTTTCATTTTATTTTAGTTTAGTGTTTGTTCTTTCTTCGACAGAATCCTGAAAAAAAGAGGGGAAACCCCTTCGGAATTAAATTATGATCTCTGTCCCTTCTTTCATTTCACATAAACATTTCACATAAAATGGAGAGGTGAATTGATGTACTTATTGGATCCGTCGGGACTGACGGGGCTCGAACCCGCAACGTCCGCCTTGACAGGGCGGTGCTCTTGCCTATTGAACTACAATCCCAGGGAAATAAGAAGAGATCTAACAGAAATTTGGCTTCTTTTTTATTCTCTCTTATCAGGTATTTCTTAAGAACAAGAGGGTTCTACTATTTGATAGTATATTGGCGAATTTTTGGGCCGAGCTGGATTTGAACCAGCGTAGACATATTGTCAACGAATTTACAGTCCGTCCCCATTAACCACTCGGGCATCGACCCAACGCCTAATTAGACGTTCCATAATCAACTTCCTTTCGTCTACCAGGCGGACTTGACAAATACATTTCACTTTTGATTAAAATCCTACTCCTATGGTCTTGGTATACCCTAGAGGGACTTGAACCCTCGTTTTCTCCGTGAAAGAGAGAGGTCGTAATCACTGGACCATAGGGGCACCAATGACCATAGGGGCCTATGGCCACCTTTAGGAAATCAAAAAGCACTACACAATACAAATACAATAGGGAATAAGGCCTAAGGCCACCTTAACTTAATATAAATCAGCCGAGGGACACCTTTAGAAGATGAATAGGATATGAATCAACCGAAAAACTCGTTAACTTTTCTGGGGGTTAATGGTAATCAAACTTTACCATTAAACTATACAATCTTTCAACTTTATTTCATTGGTTTTTCTCGTCTTTATCTCTCTCATTCAGAAAAGAGTTTTGCATTGGATCCAAGATACGGTACCTCTGAATCAGCAGAGCAGGAGATGCAAAAAAAAATGATTTACCAAAGTCTGATTTGGGAATTTTATTGAGCCCTAAATCATATCAAAGTCATATCAAATTATATATATATATAAATAATACTGTCAACTGTCAATTGACGACAGGAGGGCAATAAAAAATAAAAGAAGAGAAAAGACATTAGGTATATCCGCTGGGTTCATCAATACAACATTCCTTTAGTTTTATGGTATTAAATATTCAAGTAGATTAGAATATCAATACCGTTTTACATTATAATATAAGAAACTGACGCAGTTTTTATATTATAAAAAAATCCCAAAGCATAGTAAGACTAAGCAGGAGAATTCTGTTTCTAGGACTGTTTTCTCAATTCCGTTCCATTTGCATCTCTTAAAAATGACAATTTAAATTAAATTGAAATTAAGTATAAATTTGAATTCCACCTATCTCATAGATTCCAGTCAAAGATTCATGGAATCGAAATTCCATCATTGCTATAGGATTTGATGGATAATGAGCCAGCCAAAATGGTATTTCTTTTTTTTTTTTGTTTTTGGAGAATTCGAGATGGATGAATATAAATAACTGACAATTTCAAAATAATCCGGGATAGACGCAATGTCCACAATACCTGGATTTAATCAGATACAATTTGAAGGATTTTGTAGGTTCATTGATCAGGGTTTGACAGAAGAAACTTTCTAAGTTTCCAAAAATTGAAGATACAAATCAAGAAATTGACTTTGAATTATTTTTGGAAAGATATCAATTGGTAGAACCCTCGATAAAGGAAAGAGATGCTGTGTATGAATCACTCACATATTCTTCTGAATTATATGTATCTGCGAGACTAATTTGGAAAAACGATAGGCGTAGGTATATCCAAGAACAAACAATTTTGATAGGAAAGATCCCTCTAATGACTTCTCTGGGAGCTTTTATAGTAAATGGAATATATAGAATTGTGATCAATCAAATATTGCAAAGTCCCGGTATTTATTACCAGTCAGAATTGAACGATAATGGAATTTCCGTCTATACCGGCACCATAATATCAGATTGGGGAGGAAGATTAGAATTAGAGATTGATAGAAAAACAAGGATATGGGTTCGCGTGAGTAGGCAACAAAAACTATCTATTCTAGTTCTATTATCAGCTATGGGGTTGAATATAAGAGAAATTCTAGAGAATGTTTGCTATCCTGAACTATTTTTGTCTTTTCTGAATGATAAAAAAACAAATAGGGTCAAAAGAAAATGCTATTTTGGAGTTTTATCAACAATTTGCTTGTGTAGAGGGAGATCCGGTATTTTCTGAATCCTTATCTAAGGATTTACAAAAAAAATTCTTTCAACAAAGATGTGAATTGGGAGGGATTGGTCGACGAAAT